AGTCGGGCAAGAAGTGTGTGAATGTGACTCCAAAATGTAGTTAGTCAGGACGACATCCTTGCTCCATCCTTCGCCCATCTGGATGTCATTTTGCAAGTGCTCGAAATGAAAACGGGCCTGGCAGAAGTTAACTTGATTATGCGGCCGGGACATGTCGTTGATCAACTTGCGTGAGATTTAATAAAATTGACGAGGTGGGAAAACTTCAAAATTAAAGGGCACTTGACGCAAATACGAGCTGTCATAAATAGCGAATGAAGTGAGTGGCTGTTATGGCAATGATATATAATTGTGAATTATGCACGTTTAGCAGCCTTGGGGTATTTGTTAATGAATCATATTGATTTATCGAATTAAATGGCTGATAGGATCAAGGTTTTTTAAATATACGAATTTATTCCGGACTATAATGACCTAAATTATTTGATAATATTGTAAGTATTAGGGATTATAGATTGATTTTTTATACATGATTCTGACTAACAACATAAATGTCTAATACCAATCCAATTATTGCCGGAATTACTAATTAAACTGTGACGCCTGACATCGAAATCCCGCCGAGCATCCATTTGGGGTCCGATTCCCACAGCATTGCAAAATCATTTCCGTATGCTAAGTGCCATTCATATTGCATGGCCCGGACTATGCATATCCAGGCGAACTTCTGCTGGTGTTATATTTCTGGCGGAAATTGGGAGCAGCACTCGGAGCCGGTACGTGCCGTAAAAGCTGCCAACTTGCAGCAATTTCTCACATTTCCCCTACCCAATCCCACAACCGAATCCGGACCCGAGTTTATGGGGTCGTAGCCATAGCACGCAATTACGGGGGATTGGCATTACCAGGGCTTTCCCGGGATCAGCCAAACTAATATCCATTTCGGCTTGTCCCCTGTCCAAAACAAAACGCATTAAGGCGGAAGTGCATTTTGGGTTTATTTTGCATTTCGCAGAGACATGCACGTATTCATATTTACCTAAATAACTACTCAGAATTGAATGGGGAGTATGGGGGTAAGAGGAGGACATTCTCCTGTTGTCCTTTTTATGATGGGCATACAAATGCTGAGCCAAAAGGATTTTACTTACAAACGAGCGAGCAGAGGAAAAAGTGCAGAAGAATCGCATTGTCCCCTTTGCCAGGAAGAGAACGAAGGACGAATGGGTCTGAGGGGTCATAAGCCAGGGCATAGACAAGCGCACAAGGATATGTAGTGGCATAAGGATTTGTTTTGCCCGGCTGCAGATGATGAGGATGATGATGAGCCTCCTGCTCCTTTGCCTCTCAACTTATGTGCAGTCACGGTCTGTCTGCTTTGTTGTTTTGAGCAGAGAATACCTTCTCTTTCTCTCCGACAGTTGCTGTCTCTTTCAGTGTCGCATCTTGTCTGGGACATAGGACGTGGGACATGCATAAGTGGCTGCCTCACAAAACTTGTTATTTGTATTTACTTTTGATTGTTGCAGCTGCATTCTGTCCTCCCTTGTTCCACTGCAGACAAGTGTCAACACAAAAATTGCACTTAACTTTAACTTTTATTCGGCATCGCAACTCTCAAAACAATTAAATGCCTCATCTCATCCACATTTTTCTCTTAACTTTTTCGGGCCTGCTGCATTTTTCATGGGTCAACTGTCAGGCTTCTTTGCCCTTTAAAATTTGCATCTGTGCATTACTTTATTCCTGCTATTTCTTTTCCGTTGATGTCACTCACTGCAAAATGAACTGTCAAATGGGAAAATCGAAGGAACGAAACGAGGCTGTCACTGACTGAATGATGCTTTAATGGGCTCTTTCCCTCTCATGTCGCCAGTACACTCGCATATGTGAGAAATGGGATAACGAGAAAAAATATTTGTCGAAGAGCTGCCAAAAGAACGTTGATTAAATGTATCCAATACAGATCGAGAAAGTGGGATAAAAACCATTTACCAAAAACAATTTCATATATTCTTAGCAGAAAGTTCACCTGTTCATAGTTGAATTTTCAACTTAAAGAGAGCCGAACTTTGAAGTCCCCCAATTTTTGTAGCCTCATCTGGACATAAACGTCTTTATTGACTGGTGAGTACGTTCCATGGATTCCACTCCACTTAACCGTACCTACTCAACCCAAGTGCATTCACTGGCACAGAGACCACATGACGTCAGAAACAGGTCGGAAATTCTTTTGCCCATTTTCCACACTTTCCCCGCTGCTCCACCAGCTGAAATAAAAGCCCCCTGCTGCTTGTTGGCCAGTCACCCACAAATAGCATTTTGTGTCTATTTTAGTGTAATTTTCCACTTAAACGGTTTTTTCTCTAGCAAGCTGCTGGAAGGCTTTCGGAAAAGCCCTCCCTACCAAAGCCGGCAAGAAGTCATCTGCTTGTGCTGCGTCTGGCAACCGCCAAAAAATGCCAAGTTGGAATGAAAATTATTGGTTCCCCCTTCTGTCGAAAAATGGGTAACCAAAAAAGGACGAAGGAAAATATATCGATGGCTCCAAATTGAGTTTGAGCGGTTTTTCCAACACGCCCCGTAGTTTTTCACTCTTCTGCTATCGATTTCAATTGTGCTAAGGCAACTGTATCTCCCCCGATTTTCCTATCACCCCTTCGTGCCGCAATCCCTCCCCTTTTGGCCAACTTCAAAGAGAGCAGCGTGCAATGAAATTGACACCCGCAGCGTCGACTCCATTGGAATGAAACTATGGATGGGAGAAAAATAAATGTGTAACGAAATGGAAGCATCTCGCCTCCCCACCCACAACCATTTCACCCCGTTCTCCGCTGCCATTTGGCTTGGCAATAAAACCATTTTAATGAGATTCAAGCTTTAAATTTCGCGCTTTATTTACGTGAGTGTTGTGCATGGGCGTCGGAATGAAGGGTTCCAAGGGGTAAAAAGCGTAAAGCGGCTGGCCACAAAGGGCATGGCATAAAAGTGGGCAAAAGTGTGTTAACTTTGATGGCTTAAAGAATAAGTAACCGACCCTCTACTACCCAGCAACCATTAAAATAAAAGAAAATTTAATTTGCAACCAGCAATATTATTTATATGTATACCGATACTTGAAATACCATTTATAAACTTAAAAAATGTTATTAAAATTTCTGAAAAACTGAAAAAAGTATCAAATATCTTATTTTATTTTTTTATTATTTTCATGGAGTAAATAAATTATTTAATTTTTGGTATTTTTCATACACACATGCAAAAAGTCGAACATACCCAAAGAAAATACCAGAAAATGGGCTTACTCAATTACGTAACTCAACGAGAATTTTAATTAAAAGCATGCAGATGATTTAATTGATTCCTGTGTATAACGCATACGCCTGGTGGGCCCTTGCTGACCGACCAACACAGGCTAAGCAGCCCACTTAGAGAGAGTTGGGCAAATATTTTAACAACTTTGTTACGGCGTTTTTATGAAAATTGGACACCAGCGAAAAACAGAAGGCGTCTGCAAAGATGTAGCCCCCACACAGAGACGGAGGTTTACACAGTTAATAATAAAAACCATTTACTATGCAAATATTTGATCGGCTGGCAGGTCAGCGGAGTAGGAGATGGATGCTCTTGCCCATCTTGAGCCATTTTTCACGCTTAGCGTATGGGAATTTTGAATTTTGGACACGAGATGAAAGATGAGCAAAGTCAAAATCCAAGCTGAGTGCCGGGAAATGTGTTTGCGATGGGTTAAGTATGACTTACAGTATGCATATGCATTCCATAGCCACCCTACGACTTTTAGTTCAGTCTCGTGTTTGCTTTGACTTTGAGCGAGGCAGCCATGAAAAATTAAAAAGGGATTTCCATGCGGCAGCTGAAAAGCATTTCCAGTGGTAACTTGAACAACTTTTTCCACTCGCTCGCCTGTCAGCATTTTCTTTTCGATTTTTCGCCGCCTGCGAGATGATGTATGTCGGACAAGTGCTTCAGTTCGAGTGGAATGTGGTGGTGATGGTTATATTGGCGGTGGTGCTGGCTCTGTTGCTGCAGCAGGATGTGGGTTAGTCAGCCAAGCATGTGGCTTGCATTTAATTACGGGGATTTCCCCGGATCCCAGCCACAGACTGCCGGATGAGGGAGCTAATTGAGCTGCGAGGGAGTGAATTGCCTGGCCAATATTCTGCGGTGAAAGCACTTTCTTTGGCCGCAACTTTAGGGCATATAATAAGGAGGTCGACAAGTCAGGGGTAGCCAGGGGATTATGGTTTTGGGGCCCAAACCTTAATTATTATTTATCACTTTTCCCTACGAAACCCCTCGTAAGTAAAACATTAGGGCACCCCCATTCCTGATTTTAAAGGCGAAACAAAAACAGCATTATTAAGCCAATTCGACAGCTTTAATTGCTTTTAAGCTGTGCAATTCCATTTGCTATGAATATTTAATAGTAGTCTTATTTCTAATGCATAAAATGTTTTATTCAGTTCAATTGCTCAACGGTGAAAACCGACAAAATTTCATGTATTGGATTTACAGCTCTGTTAAAAATAATAGTAGCTCGAAAATATAAAATGACTTTAGGTAATACTATACAAAATAGCAAACCTTTAAAGGAAATTGTACATAAATTTTAATTTAAAAAGTTAACTGAAAAAACGTTAAAAACAAATTATATAAAATTTAACTATTCACATAAATTTCTTATTTTAATAAAGGATTGTGAGATAGAAAAAACTATTTGATGAGTAAAGCCAAAAACTTGACTGCTCATTGAAAATTTACAAGTTAAGTCATCTCACTTTATTGTCATTCGTTTCGAAGGTAATCCCACCTGTCCCATTTCCTCACTTAAATTGTTTGCAAAAACGAACAACTTTCTTTGAACTCTCAACTCATCTGAAATTGCGATAGGTCAGGTTCTGTCAACCCCTGAAAAATGGAAGAGCTTCCATTAAATTTTGCTGCTCGATTTGCCAGGCAAAGGTGACCAAGGACATCAATTTGCCGCCCCCTACAGTAAACCCTAAATAAAATGTATAAAAAAGAGCGTCGAAGCTTACCTTTTGCAATAATAAAAATTCGTTGTACAAGGTAGTTGGCAACTCGTAAAAGTGTAGCCAATGTTGATGTGGCTGCTGCTGCTGCTGATGTTTGTGATGTTTTTGTTGTTTTCCTTGTTGTTTTAGCATCAAATGCTTTGGCGAACTTTTGGCTTAGTTGTTGTTGGGCGATTTGTTGTTTGTAGCTTTTGTATTAGCCATAGAACATAGTTGTTGCCATCGTTGTTGCTCCCGTTGATGACCGAGTGACTGGACCTGCTCCTCCTGACGATGTTGATATTGCAGCCGTGCTGTTGCTGTTGCTGTTGCTGCTGCACTTGATGTTGCTGGCGTTGATATTGCTGCTGTTGCCGTTCATTGTTTGTATTTCGAGAGAGAGTTTTAAAACGTTTTGTGCTTATTGTTTTAGCCACTTGTCATGGAATGAATATGCAAACTATTTTATTTCGTTGTCTCGTGCCCTTTTAGGCAATTGTAAACAATATCTGTTGTTTGTTTTCGTTTGTTTGCTCGCTTTCTGATGAATTGTTTATGGGCATTTGGCTAACGATAAGGGAGAACAATAAAAATTTAATTTTTAAAAATATTTTTCGTGTGCGCTTTATTCGGATTTCACATTTCTTTTCCGTTTCTGCTGATGATGATGATGGGAAATGGCAGCCCATATGCCAAAAGATTTATGACCATACAAAATGGCAAGCGGCTGGGGCTGTCTTACCCCAACACCAACACCCCCGATCCCCTGTGGCCCATGAATTATGCAATGAAATTTATTTCATTTTTCCCATTTCAGGGCGAGAGCACATGAGCATTTTTTAGGAGTGTCGAGGTCGTCGACAGACTTCTGTTATTGTTATAAATGAGGGAGAAATGATTCTTTAATTTATGAAAAAAGTATCATATTTTTTGTCAGATGCATCAAGCATTCTGAGAAAAGTTTTAAATATGAATAGAAACAAAAAAAAAATGTTGCTCGAGGGTACATTGACACCTAGACATGCTCTGAGTTTCTGCGTCCTGACCTGGCCCATTGTCCCCGGCCACTTTTGTCGCCTGGCTTTCCTTCTACTTATTAGTCTGCGTTTTGCAAATATTTGCATACGAGGCACGTTTCAGACATTTTTCTTCTGCTCATTCCTTTTATTTTGTTCTTATTATTATTATTACTCTGCTGGCACTCCCCTTTCCCCGATTTTCCATTTTCCTGTTTTTGGCGTCCTTCGTTAGCGTGTAAATGCGAGATTTCTTTGCACCCCATTAAGCAGAATACGGAAATGGGTAAAAATAAGCAAAAGTATTTAAATCAGTTATGAAGTTTTTAACGACGGCCAGTTGGTGCCAACATCATAAAGTTAACCCAGAATATAAAGGAGTTACAAAAGTTAAATAATATGTAAGATAAGGAAAAAATGTATGAGAAGAAATAATGAGTTCACGACTTTTAATGAAAGATGTTGTATAGTTGCTAAAAACAAAAGAAGTTATGTTAATAATATCGAACAATGTAGTAAACTGATCGACAAAAGCACTTAAAGCACGTTAAGCTCACCATGTAAAACGTGAACTTTCTATTGAATCCACTTGTTAAGGATCAAAACGCCCATGAAACTCGGGGCTCGCCCAATTTAAAAGCTGCCTTGACAAGGACTCCCCGCCGATTGATAGCCTGAACATCTTCAAGGAACTAATCCTTAAGGCGACCCCCATAATCCACTTAATCTGCCGAGCCGAACACGTTGCTGCCTATCAGACAAACGTTTTCAGAAACAGTATAAAGGAAGCGCTGTAAGGACATTTGGCCGGATTCCCCCTTTGTCCTCAATCCCCTTTGACGACCCCTGATTGCTGCTGTATTTCGGGCCCTTCCACAGGCGCCACATCAATTTGTAATTTGTAAATGAAATTGCCTTTGCTCGGGCCTCCCTTTTTTTCAGCTTTTTTTTTGCCCACCAGAAAAATGCAAATTTGTCAAATTGATTTAAAGCCCCGGTGTCGGCCAATTTAAATCCCAAAAATTAATTACACTGCATGCGCACACACGTCCACGGGATTTTTGCCTTGTTTTTATTTATATTTTTTGTATATTTTCTGTTTTAACCGCCTTCACTTGACACTTTTGTATGTTTTTTTTTGTGGGAACTTTTGATCTTTGGTAGGACCGCCGCTTGCCTGATGGTTATCAACGCCCGATTGTCGAGGTTCGCACTCGACCTCGTCGTTACTGGCACCTCACACATTCAGTTGGCAGCTCTGGCCCAAGTCAAGTATCCGCACCGTTGACCCGCCGCTAAACGAACTCCGCCGCGCTCCCGAGTGAACTGACTTAGGTCGTCGAGTTCCGCCAGCAGGTGACCCGAACTGGGCCTCGGCCATTAGCCGAAGCAGGGTCTTATCAGAGCCGAAGGATAACCCGAGAGAGGCCAACGCAGTCGCACAAGAGAGAACCGGCTTTCGTTGGTGTATGGTGTGTGGTAGCTTCCTCCACCACTCGTTGGTGAAAGAACCCATGTGCCGTGGTGAATGTGGGCTCTTATCAGTAGTGCATGGTGTGGGACAGCTCTTATCGGCCTCCAGACTGCTGTACCCGCACTACATCCTTACCAGCTGACTCCGTCCTTCGGGCTGACGAATGTGGGCAGGCGTCTGGCAGGAATGTGCCAAAATGTCGAGCAAACAACGTAGCCGAGCTTGTTTTTGTTTGCCCCAAAAACCGATGATAAGACCAAGTCACTTACCAGTGCGGGGACCTGATTTCTTTTATCAGAGCGGGATGATTTTCAGAAAGTCACTCTACTGTCAAATAAGCTATGAGTCAGACAAGTTACAGCTTAAGTTGAATCCTTTAAGCACTTATATTAACAATTACAACCAAAAGAAAATAATTCTGCTTTGAAATAACTTTACTTTTGAGACCACAAATCAGAGCTTAACTGCAGCAAATAATCACTATTTCCCCTTCAACCGCTGAATTTCACGAGGATCCTGATGAAGCGCTGCAGCGGAAGGACAACGTGTTCGAGCCATGTTTTGTGCAGTCACAATGACCAAGCCACAGTCACTGCTGCTCCGTCCGCCGATGGCTGTCACCTCGGAACATTCATTCCGACTTTCATGCTCCTGTCAGACGGAGAGTGTTATGTTTCGGCCACTCCATCGCGATTCTCGTGTCGGTAGATGGCAGAAGGAAATCCATTGCTGCGGCGGGCTTTCCTCGGGGCAAAATCAATGCAGCGGCATGTCAGCCTGGTTTATTGGCTTCCATTCGGACGCTAAGGAGGCCAAACTAATTACCGTGCATAATAAATCAGATCCCTGTCATAGTCTGCCATTAGTTTGACACCACCCCGGTGCCCGCCTGCCCATTGGCCAGTGCCCACTAGCCACCAGGAGAGAGGTCTTCTAGCATTTATGCAAATTGCCAGCAATACCAGTGCCCCGAGCCAATTTCGCACTGGCGGAGTATCGGACTCGGTTCGCTGCCTTCTGCATTATTAATTGCAATTTGTTTGCTATTTTTTCCAAGAAAAGTTACCAGCTTTAACCTAATAATAGTCAAGCACATGGTTCTCCCCTGACCACGCTGACAATCGAGTTTATTTATGCAAAATTAATTGATTTCTATAGAAAACCCAGAGGGGGCAATGGAAAATGCAATTGACACATTTTTCTCGGGACATAATGAGGGGTAATTTATAATCATGGGCGCAATTGAAAGCTTTTATAAAAGGAGTCACGTTGCGTGACTTAGGCGATGAAGGGGTCAACAAGTAACAAATTGTTTATTCCCATAGACAGGCCCATTAACAGTTTTTATTTTGGCATTGTAACTCGAAATATTGCATGTTAATACAGAAGGAATGATTGATTCCTGGTTAGTAAACGAAGTTTTAGTAAGAGACTAGTATTGATAAGATCTCTTACCTTAACTGCCTGAAGAAATTGACTTTCTTGCGGGTTTCGGACAGATTGTGCATGTGATCATCGAGGAACTTAAAGTCCAGGCCTGTAGTAAACTCAAAATCATTTTTGGGTCTGCGATTAAATACTGGATCTGGTGATTCGGTTTTCGGAACGAGAGGCTTGCAACGATTTGGATACGGCTGAGAATATTGTCGTGTGTAGCTGGACAACATGGGAGGTTCCATATAGTCATCGATATCGGAGACTCCATAACGAGGACTGCAAAAAATTGTGGTAAAATTTACAATAACAAAGTTAATAAGGTATATACTAAATGTTAGGAAACATATTTTATATTAACATTCCTTTTACATTTGATACGCTGCTAAACAAATAGTAGATTTTAAGCTCCACTTCTTACTGCTTACATACTTCCTAAGTACCCCCTTTATTTCCCTAAACTGGATAATTTTCCACTCACTCATCCATATTGAACGACTGAAAGTTGACCAGCTTTTTCTCCTGCGTGGATATAGTCCTTAGCCCCTTGGCACCCTCCTCAAGCATCGCCTGTGTGGTGCTCTTCATTTCATCCTTAGCCATTGATTCCCACAGCTTGGTCTTCTTTTTGCAGGCCATTTCAACTGGGACTTTGTGTTCGGAACGGTGAGTTAACGATGTGAACGAAGTTTACTGGGCGATCTGAAATGTTTCTCAGAGTGAATTCCTTTCAACCTTTGAGCTCGCCATAATCCCCCAGCGCACAAAAACAGAAATCACATCATTAAACAGCCAGAGAGAGAGAGAGAGTTGCTGGCAGTCGTTGCACAATATTATAAACGCCACAATTGAATTCACAAGCGGATTTATTGTGGGCGGAGGCAAATGGTTTCTGAATCAGTAGTCGATGAAAATGAAAATCGAATAGTGGGTCATCGTTGGCAATGCACAGGAGTCGAAAAGGGGGGAAAGCCTCGGTGTGTTTAGTGGCCAAACCGACTACAATGGCCAATAACAATGCCGGATTGGCTCTTTGGCGTCTCTCATAATGAGCTGCCACCTCTGTTTGCTCTGTTTGCAACGACATTAATACGGGCTAATTAAACAAATATTGTGTGCATCCGACTACGAGTATCGAATGGATGTCTGTGTGTGTGTGTTTGGCTTGGTTTTACTGCGGTGTAATTCGCTTAGATCATGAGTGAATGTGGCTACGCGAGTCGCTTAGTATAAAAAATCATTGCAGTTATAGCTTCAATTTGTAAAGTAGTTATTATAGTCTTTTCCAAAAAGAATGTTTAAATTTTGTTACTTTGCTAGACTCTGCGGTTGAAGCTATACAAAATGCCTCTAAGATTCACTGACGACCCCAACGCATTCTAATGGCTTGCCCGGGAGTGTATCTATTGCCGTGATTACGCATATCAGGCGACTTGTATCAACAGTCGACATCGGGTCGTCGATGACACCAAACCGAATGTTCAACAACATAATGCGATGGCCGGCGAGGGGGACTGGCGGATACGGAAGTGAAGCAGAAAATGAACGCATGGCAATCGGGGTGGCGGCGGTCTCCATGAGGCTCATAAATAATGGGGTAGCATTTTGCAGCCGCTGCATTTTGCGGCGAATAATTTGCATTTTTAAGCATTTTCACAGTGCATTGGGCATAATTAAAAGCAACGACGCTGGGGCTTCTGACCGCAAGTCTAGCTCCAATTTCGATTCTGTTGCCTGTTGCGAAAGAACCCGGGTAACCTTGAAATGGGAGAGGAAAAACACTGAGAAAAATAATAAAGGGAGTTTCAGAATACCAATAAAAATGTCCAGAATTTATAGCAACATATACCAAGTGTAATAGGTACCTTTAATCTTAATAATTTAAATTCCAGTAATAAAACATTACTTCCACAGCGATGGTCATCTAGTAAAGTTTCAAAAAACCATATCTCAGTGCAAAAATGTTGGCGACAGTCAAGTTTCTCACCTCAAAGTTTTCCTCGCCCCCAGTTGACTTTTACAAGGTTTTCTTGTTTTCTTGGGGGCGTAGCCGCATCAGCTTTGGGCGCAGGCAGCCATGGCGCACTTAACAAATTAATGTCAAGCCACAATAAAAGTCAACAGCTGGTTGCAACAGCAGGGGCGGCGAAAGGCAAAGCAGAATTTCAGAGACTTAGGTGAAATGGGGTGGGCAGTGAAAGTGATGGCGAAAAGGAGGGGAGTGACACGTGCAATGGAACGGAATCCGCCACACATAAGTTAAACAAATATACTGCGCACCCGCACACCCATAAAAATGCAGATGCAGTTGCACAGATGGTCGGTCGTCCTAAAGTCTCTGAAAAAGGGGAAGTGCACCTGCTGCCAAAGAAGCCAAGAAACCCGGTATTCGAGATTCGGTAGCCAAGAAGTTGAATCAAATTCACATATTAAATAATCGAATTCCTCGCATGCACATCATTTCAAATTCACGTTCGCACTTTCATCCAGATCCACATATACATCCACTGCACATTCATTCCACATTCACATCCTCACTTTAGCTCACGCGGATGGCATCAGACTGCCCTTCTCGCCGAAATATTCCCCCAGTTTTTGTATCTGGCATCTTTAAGCAATTTTTCTCGCCAACCCGCTTTGCCCGAGATTTTTCGCTTGACATATAATTTTTATGAGACTAAGCAGGGCCGTGCATAAAAGGGGTTTCAAGAATGATATGAAATAATAAAAATAAGAATAGTATTAACCGAGTAGTAGTGAAAATCACATAAGTGCTTTAAAGATGCTCAAAGCCCCCGTTTAATAACGAAAACTCCACACCCATGCTTCAGCTTTTTCTGTATCCTTTATTTGCGTATGGCAGAAACTTCTGGCACGCACGTCCGCCCCAACTTTTGATGGTTGAGGTGTGAAATTTTGCGAGCTGCACGAGGCAAATAGGCATAAAATTATTTAAAACTCGACGCGAGACTGCACAAAAGGATGCGGCATAAATGCGTGGCAGCTTCGCGTCTTCCACTCCTTCAACTCATGCGATTAAAGTGTGCACTTTCTTCCTTAAATCGAGAGGGAGGCATTCCCCTTCTGCTGATTCAGTTTCTGCCAGGCCTGGACATATTCCTGGTAGAAATCGAAAAGCAGGTGAGGAACACGCTCCAAGGCTAGCTCTATATGAACTAATTCTGGTTCAAGTAAATCCTTGAATTTGATCAGGAGAAACTGTTTCTTGTCAGTGTTTTGTACTATATCCAATATCGATTCTACTTCATATCCTCGCTGAAAAGCATCGATTGCGGGAACCGGCGGAAGATTCGAAAGATCTGAAGAGAATTTCTTGAAAGGTTTTTTAACAGTTTTAACTAGTGTTACGGGAGGAGGCACGGTACAGAACATCTTGGTCGGCGGGTCCTATATAGGTTATGATTAATTTTTGAAAAATGAAAATGTATAGATAAATCTACTCACATTACGTCGGGAAAAAGAAGCTTTACGTTTTTCGACGGCTGGTTTCATTTGGACTTTTAAAATAAATGTATATTTCGTTGGTTTGTTTTGTAGTGGCATAAACTGAAGTTGAAATCCTTTTACTTCTTCCGAGTGGCACTTCATAGCCTGCTCTTCTCTGGAAATTCATATGACTTTCGCTTCTGTTGCCTGTTCTGCAAATGAACTTCCTGCGGCCAAAACAACTTCACGGCACTCTGAGCCGGCCCATGGCAACCATGGAGCTGGTGAGCGGTGGAAATGCAGTTAAATGAGCGGAAATGCAAAATTAACTCGCCACGAAAGCACAGAGCAAACAAAGAAATTGTTGTACAACTAAAAAAAAACCCACACACACATTCGCAGAGCGAAGAAAAATGAAGAGGAAATAGAGAATGAGAAAATCAAGTGCCGTGGCACAAAAAAAAGTGGTAGAAAAAAACGCAATTGAAAGCAAGTAAAGCGGCAGAACAGAAAAAATGTATAATAGCAGAATAAACGTTGCCACTTGGCCAAATTTAATGCAAATATTTGGCCAGCCGCGAAAGAAAATGTTGTCTTTCCCGCTCCCCACGAAAGGCTTTCATTGCTTTTAACTAATGTGATGGTTGGGTCCTGCAAAGGAAATTAAGTGATTAAAGTAAGAAATATTTTTGAAATAATCTTTCCTAAAACTATTAAAGTATGCTAAGATCAGTAAAAATAATTCAGTTTCAAAGAATAACTTAGTTTCTTCATTCGAAAATGATTTTCCCCTTCAGGCATTTAATTCTCAGTGGAGGCAATCTCTTCCTGGTCATAAACCGAATATCCACGCGCTTTTGCAAAATATATATTTCCGGTCTCTGCCGCCGCCTCCTCCAAATTATCCTCCACAAAGAATTCCGCTGAGCTTGATAAATAGAAGCGGAGCGTTCGAGTACTGTGCATGATTTATATCTCCTTGTGCTCGTTTTGTGCCGGTCTCTTGTTTATTTTCTTGCTGTGACAACGACGCACTTTTCGGGATTTTCGAAATTGTATTTAATTGTTGGGGTAGCCCAACAGGACAGGGAAGTCTTTTTCGGTCGGCATTTAAAATGAAACAAACATTCTGCCTCGCCATGGAAATGACAATAAAAATAGCATCAAATTTATGGCATACCGAAATAGAGAGGTGGAGGATACGAAAATGGAAATGGAAAGGGGGTAGGAGGAGGTCCTCGTTGAGGGCATTTCATTCTCTTGCATTGTCCTTTTATTCCAACTCTCGTTCACTGGAAAAAATATTTCAGAAATTTATGGTAAAATGTTACAGACATTAGACATTCTCAACAATAATTTAATTTGTTACATTTTAAAATAGGAAACAAATTATTTAAATAATTAAATAAAAAAAATAATAAACGGTTCAAACATTTTTGTTGTGTGTATTTGGCAACTGGCGTCTGTTAACTTGGCACTGACTTTGCCATTTTCAGTCGCACTGACTTTGCACAATTAATGGCCACCTTCTGCTGTACCCAGCTGCGCCCACCCAACCCCTTCCAACTCACCCACCCACCAGACATTCCCTATTCCGCACAATTATTGCGGCCATTGTGTGAGAACCTTTTGCCAAGTGTCTTGTGTGTCATCGTCACCGCTAAATTTAACATAATCCTCGGATGCTCCAGACCGAATGCTGCCCACTCGGGCTCCAGCTCCAGCTTCAGCGCCAGCGCCAGTTCCATCTCCAGCTCCTGTTGGGCGCCAGGAAAATTGTTGGCAGCTGACGCGACTTGGCCAGGATGTTACTCGAGGTCCTTTGTTAGCCCTTTTCCGCTGCTGCTGCGCCGCTGCTCACTCGCCTGCCGCTTTTCTTCTTGCGCATAATTAATTTCACGTTCTTGCCAAAAATTATGCGACAGGATTTGTTTGCCCACGGTCCTTCTTCCTCGCCGAAAGTCCTTCACTTTGATTTCACTCTGCTTTAGTTTGTTGTATTTGCTTTGCATTTTGGCAACATCTCGTCAGCCGCCTGGCGAGCTTAAGTCCTCAGAAGGACCGTCAAGTTGGCCAATTGTGTTGCAAAGTCAGCTTAAAATAAAAACTTCCTCGATATAATCAGTGTAAACGGCTAAGCCATTTTAAATGCAGAAAATTCCATTGTCAAGTAGCAAAAGTTGAGTGCAGCAAAGTGCATTTTCTTAAAACTATTTCAAAGGAATTTTTATAGTTCATGTCAAGAGACATTTTTCGTATTTTCAAGACTTTATTTATTATTATTTGTACAATACAATTTGTACAATATATCCAGAAGAATAGGTAGATATTCAAGTTAAATTTGATTTCCAATGCAAACAAAAGTCAAGCCAGACAAACACTATCAAAAATTTATATTTATCGAAGAAACAATATTCAATCTTTGCACATTTCTCTGCATAAGTTTAACCCCCGGAATTTACACTTGGCCATTTATAATTGTTTCGCAGCTGCAATCGATAACAATTTAAATCCATTGCTGCCAATAAACAATTATTGCAGCAACCGGCACAACAGAGCTCCTCCCCAATTTACACCGATTCACCGAACCAACTGGGCTCAAATGGGTTCTAGGCCATCAGCCCCATTAGCCACACAGTGTGGTAGTCACATATAAGCCGGCGGACATTTGGCCAGACTCTCGTTGAGCTTTTTATCTTCATAAAAACGCCGCCAGACAAAACATACATACCGAAGAGATGGCAGACGGACTAACCGAAAACGAAATTCATTGCAGAAATGTTCAAAAATTGGTGAACGAAAAATTGAGTGAAAAATCAGAGGGGAACGTGGAACGTGGTTCGTGGGAAATCCCACCCAGGAGCACTAAATAAAGTTTGCACTAAAAAACTATTAGGGAGTCGGGACAAAAAAATTCACTTAGAATGTCACAGACAAAAAATAACAACAGGCCAGCAAGGAAAAAATGGAAGTTTATCCACCCATGGAAACTCGTATTTGCAAATTCCAAAAGAGGCAATGAAATGGCAACCAAACCGGGCTCTTTTTTCCAGGGGGAGAACAAAACGAAACAGGAAATTAAAATCGAATCGTGTATGCTTTGAATTGTGCATCTTCCATCTGAGCACGTGTATCCTGGTATCTGTGCATCTGCGGGCTCTCCCTCCGATAAGTAGAGGCCCCAACACCAGAAAGTGTTTAATTTGATAGGGCCCCAGGGACTCCAACATGGCGGGCGGATTTTTGGTCAAAAAGTTTCGCCGTTACCTTGACTTCCAGAATTTATGTGCAAAGTTTTTCCGCGTCCGCGTCTGCTTCTCTATGTGTGTGGGTGTCTCTGTGTGCGTGGCAAATTATGCAATTTTAACGCATAAATTTCATGACTCGCAACCAGCGGCCATTGCAGGGAGGAAGCTCCAGATTCGGTATCCAGCTCCAGTTTCAGTTTCAGCTTCGGCTTCCTTTTCCACATTTCCTCCGGCTACTTTGGCCCGAAGTTCACAGAACTGCGACTGTCTAATTAAAGCGTCTAGCTGCCGGGACATCTTTCCTGGCCCAGTCTCAGTCTAGGACCCATTCTCATCGCCAGTGCACTTTAAATGCAGCAGCAAAAATGGTAAAACCGTTTTTATGGTCTCACAGAAGGGTGCAATAACCACATGTGTTATGATATTTATTGTCTTGTCTTTAGATCTAACGATCAGATAACGCTATCGTAAGGATCTATGAAATAGGTTAATTAAATTTTAAAAAATTAAAAACTTTTTCTAAGTTTTTATTATTTAATTTCCCAAAACTTTTTTACCACACTTTCCGAAAAACCCATCCCTAATGCCAGCCAATCTGCTCAGATATTCATATATCCCGGCAGTGCATTAATCAACTTCCAGTGTATTCCATCTTCGTCTCGTCGGGAGTCTTTTGATGGTAGAGTTTGGTCTTGGTCCCGGTCGTAAATAAAAAAGTTGGCATCGCTCCCCGGAGACAAATCAGTTTGATTTTGATTGCATCTTTTACGGCCTTTGGCACCTTATAACTTTTTCCAGCTCACCTGAGCGACCCCGTGAATTCTGAAGTGGCGAACAAACCGGCGACACAGGTCCAAGCCGAAGCCCGAAGCAGATGTCGGGTTGAGTTCTATCATGGCAGACGCTTGTCTTAATCCCAACCAGTCACACTGGGAAGAATAATTATGATATTAAAATATGTATATCAAAATAACCTAATACAAATAATTCATGTACTTAATATCTACTGATAAAGAGATTATTTCCAAAGTAGACTGTCATATTTCTAGGGATACGTTTGAAGAGATCCAAGATAAATACTTTTTCTCCCAGTGCTTGTTTCCTTTCGCTTCCGCTCAACTGCAGTTTGCCATCATTGGGCCATGTCCTGTATGTGTTTCGTCATGTTTTGTAGCCAGTCCTTCGCCGTTCGTCTGCTTTTACTTGGCAGGATAAGCTCGTAAAACTTTTCGTAAGCCAGGACCCAAAAAGAGAGTGGGAAAAAAACTTGACTTTGTTTATTTGTTGTTTCACTTTTTCTGGCTTTGTTTGCCGGAAGTTTTATGCGTGAGCCGACAGGTGACCAAACGGCATGGAGAACAAGGAAAATTAAGGACTTTAATGAATCGTCGGGGAGAGGTGAAAAGACCTTTGAGGGAAACATACAAAAAAAGAAAAAAATATTTAAAGAAGATAGGACGAACTCCACCATGGCAGGTCTAAAAAAATGTCACACACAAAATGCTTTTACAATTGAAATGCCAATAATGTTTTATGACATTGCAGCGAAGGGCCAAAAGAAAACAGACCAAGGAAAACCATGCCACTCACCCCGCAAAATATTTTCATTTGCCTGACAAATCTTGACATGCAACAGCAATCAAAAGCGACGGCTCCGGGCCTGGCCAGGGGACAGTCGGGGCTAAGGGTGTGGGCGCCACCAAAACA